CCATGTTTTTTTTTTTTTGGTACAAAAAAGGAAGCCACAAGGCTTAAGCTAGTACTCTACGAGGGTAAGAGACCCCGATGTTATCATGGTCCAACCAAGCACCTAGACCCACAGGCGGGGCTTGCACACGATGTAAACCAGGTGGACAAGACGCAGCCAAACTTGCCATAGCATCCGCCGCGAAGTTGGCTTCGCGATAGATATGTTGAACTTGAACGCACCAATCCCTACGAAGCAGCTCTCGGATGGCCTGCACAAGTGCATCATGAGGGCCTATCTCATCCTCAGCCGCACAAACCATTGTCTTTACACAAAGACTATCGATTTCAGCCACAACACGCCTGTGTCCCAGCTCCCAAGCCAACAACAATCCTTGGAAAAGGCCCCATAGCTCCGCCCCCGTAATAGTACACATACCTATGTTGAAAAGGAATCCCGCCACCCATTTTCTGTTCTCATCACGGATCAAGCCACCCGCATAGCTCAGTCCCGTGGTCTGATCAGTGGCACCGTCACTATTAACCTTAACCCATCCCGAACATGGAGGTTTCCAATGCACCACCTTAGTAATATGCACGGCCGCACCCACCTTGACATAGTCCATGGTCGCCCGTCGGTAGCTCGCCGTAAGCCTCAACACTTCCAGTCGGCGGACCTCGACATTGAGGCTTTTGCTATTAAAAATCCGCTCATTTCGCCAAAACCACGAACGCCACGCGGCAATAGCGAAGCTGCTGCTCCAATCTTCGCACGAACCTGCCCGCGTTAGAGACAGATTTCTTCGCAGCCATTGCTTTAGGGGTTGACGGAAAAATTCATGTTCATGGCCAGGTGGTAAGAGGCGTTTCCACAGTTCCCGAGTAGGAGGGCAATCGCGAATAACGTGAAGTATCGTTTCCAACCCTCCGCATAGGTCGCACTCCCCCACAGCAGTCAGATGCCTTCGCGCTCGTTCAACATTGGTAAGTAATCTTTCCTTAGCGGCCAGCCACAGAAAGGTACGGGTTCGTTGCGGGGCGGGTACTCGCCAAATGGCGTTCCATAGGGGGCCGTCATCGTCACGAGCAGT